GGGCTTTCCCATGGATGCTGTTCCCAGTGTTATGAATCTTGGCACAGTGTCACATGCTATTAACCTAAGTGGGTTCCACAGTTATCTCTGACAGCACGTCTGCCCGAAGAACCCAGGGTCCCCGCATTTTGGTGCTTTTAAGCATCACCCAGTGTCCTTACTCTATCCTAAAGGAGAACGCCTAGGACCATATGTCCAAATATTAATTTTTTATGCCTTTCTCAGTAGAGCAACTCTTCCACAGCACACGGGGCCATATGTTTTCCGCCAACGTCTGCTGTTCATCTTTTCACACACATGAAGGTTTGGAGCCAGGAGGAGTTCTGTGCGTCCTGCCTACGGGATTGTGGAAAAAGGGATCAGAGAACCTGCCCTTAAAATTTGATTAGAGACAAACTGGGAAATGACAAATAGGAAAATAAAGTCACAGAAGAAGTAGAGCAGGCCAAGTTGTCTGCAGAGAGATTCCGCTTTCTTTGAAAGAGTTATGTTAAACCTTTGGTTGAGAAGTCGTATGGATTTATTAAAAAAAAGTTCAAGACTTTTGGGTATAAGCCAATTCATATTTTTATATAGCTCAGAGACGGTTTTCATAGCAATGAAACCGTAAACTGCTTTATAGTACAAAACTTTATCATTTTTTTTTTGTTTTTTCCTCATAGTATGGAAAAGAGCTTAAGGTCACAGATTTTTTTTCCAAAATCTGCCAGGAACTCATATTTTCCATATTTTGGGATAAGACACAGTAGATTCTAAACATCTGGATAGTCCCTATTTAAATAATTGTGTGTTCCATGTACATCATATGAATATATATATATACATATATATATATATATATATATATATATATATATGTATATATATATTGAATGTGCCATAGATATTCTGAAATCTGGATTAGATTCTGACTCCAGTAGCAATTGGAGGTCATCCTCCTAAACATTGGCTAAGGCAAAGTATATTCCCCCTCCTCTTTCATATAAACTCAAGTGTGGCTTAGTTTCTTTTATTTGCATTCTTCTCCTTTTCTTGAGCTTTTAAGAGTTGCGCAAAATGAAGTTCTTAGAATTGGCTGGAGGAAACCTCAATTTTAGCCACTGGCCTGTATCAGCTAATGATGTGATTGCAGTCTAATCCCGTAAGCCTGCCCTATTAATCCCCTTGTGGAGTGGACGTAGTGCTGGCAGCTTTGGAGCAGTGTTGTCAGCCGAGTGACCTGGTGGATGTGAGGCATTTTTAGTTTTGGAGGACAGAACAGGGCAGAGTAATCTGAGGTCAAGGACACACTCGCCCTCCCCACCATTTTCCTCACCCCCAACATAACTACAGCAAAGCAAAGAGGAATGGAAACCCATTCTCCCTCACATTGTTTCCTTGTGCCAACTGTCTGGGGAGACCATTTCCCCTTTGGTCCTTTCATCTTCCTGCCCATATTGCACTTTCTATTTATGAATACCTACTATGTGCTAGATTTAGGGGTAACATCCAATTTTGTTCCAAAACCTGCTCTTAAGCTCACTTTCTCTTTCTCCTAGAGATTACTTTTTTTTTTTTTTTTTTTTTTAAAGCACAACAATGCTTTGAAAGATGTATTTGCTTCTATCTACCTGTTGCATACTGGAAGGACCTACCAGAAAATGTAGCCTGCCATAGTACCAGAAAGAGAAGTTATTGTGACCTTCTCTACTGTCTGAGACTGTAATTAATTGGACAGACTAATCTTTCCAGCTCCCATTTTGTTTACCTGTGTTTAAAGGGCAGACCATTGATTTTAAACCTTTTTTCTTCTATGGACTGGAGATGAGGTTAGTCTGTACTCTCCAGGGGCAGAGTTCAAAGGATGCGATGAAGTGTGGAGGGCAAAGGTTAAAAAGAACTGATTCAAGGGTAGGTATCCTGATAAATGTGGCGCGTTCTATTTGTTCTCCCAGCGGACTGACTGGAAGGAGTAGCCTGTATGCCCATTGTCACACCTGCTTTGCTTCCCTCTGTGATGTCCCCAGTGGCAGGCTGCAGAGAAAGGGGTTTGCTTTCTGAGCTTTGGTTCTCTGAGAGTCACTGGAGAATGTCCCAGAATCAGGGTGGGGAGTAAAAAGCTTTCTGAGTACTCATCCAACAACAGCCTCACTTTTGTACTCGAGGAGAATTTTTTGCCACCTGTTTCACCTGTGCCACGAGTGCTGAGTTGATAGCAGTTCGGCTGGGACACAGGTACAAGGTCGGGTCATGTGGTGATGTCCTTCTGGATGTAGGTGGACATTGGAGGGCTTCTCTTTCTAGTGGTGCAGTGGGATGGAAGCCATAGAAGGAGTGGTCGAGGCTTTGGGAAGTTGACACTGTGGTGATGACTGGGAGATGCCAAGAGTTGGCCCTAGAATCCAGCCCTGCAGGTTGCTGGTTTGTAGGTACCTGATGTAGGTAACAAGCACCTGATGTAGGTAATAAGTTTATTGATCCAATGGGGCTCAGGTGCCTGCCCTAAGGGAAATGTGCTTTCACAGTTGATAAGGGGAGTGATTCAGCCTGAAGGAACTGAATAATCTGGGAAGGGGGAATTGAAAACTGTGCATCTTTTTCTTAAGTTTTGACCCTCAGAAAAGGTGTTCTGGCTTTGTGAGAGATTTTTCTTTATTGTATATGATCTTTAGAGGTGTTTTTTTTTATTGAGTTTGTGTTCCAATAGCTAATTCTAATTAGCTAACAGACTAATTCCAAGGACTTAGAAAGGAGGTCTCAATAAATTGTCCCTGTCCTTGCTGTGTCCCATACTACTTAACTATCAGACAGGACCCAGTAATATGTAAGTGGAACAATGTAGGTTATTGCTAATTCTGCCTCACACGACTGCCATTTCCTAAATCGTTAAAGTAGAGAGCCATCCCCTTTTTGTCTACTTTCAGGGTTATTGGAATACACAGAGGATGGAGCCCAGAAGCCCAGAAACGGAGCTTCTGGCTTTGGCAGTGTTTGTGTGCTCTCGAACCTGACATTTAACCTGTGTGATTTGATTTTCTCATTTGTAAAATGTTGTCAACATGTGAGTCTTTAGGGTCTTTTTCTGTGTCCTCAGCACATCAGGTGGGTTTATGTCTTTGAGAATGTGGGTTTCTGTTGCTGTTGTCACAGCAGCATATTCTACCCTATCCTGACTGATACAGTAGAAGTGATTACTCTGCACTTCCTAGAGCTTTATATGTACTGTAGCTAATTTAATTCTCACAACAACTCTTTGTGGTAGGAAATATCACAGATAAACACTTCATCTGTACAGTTCCACTGAAATTCCTAGAGCACAGGGGTCAAATATTCACTTTCGCATCCATGTGCCACAGTGCCTCACAGGGTACTGAGGGGGAATCAGCAACTGGCATACGTATTTGATTATGGCCATTATGAATTATTTTTAAAAAAATATAATGCACCACTTCCCTGCCCAGGTGGCTCAGTTGATTGAAGCATCACCCCGTACACCAAAAGGTTGTGGGTTTGATTCCTGATCAGGGCACATGTCTGGGTAGGAGGTTCAGGCTCTGATTGAGGTGCATACAGGAGGCAACTGATTGATGTTTCTCTTTCTCACTTCCTTTCTCCCTAAAATCAATAAACATATCCTTGGGTGAGGAATATACATAGTATTAAATTGAGTATTTTTAAAATATATCCCCAAAGTTATATAACCATCAATATAATAAAGTTTAGAACTTCATCATCACCCTAAAAAAGAAACCATATACACTTTAGCAGTAACTCCTTATCACCTCCCTAACCAGCCCCTGGCAACCACTAATTTATTTGCTGTCTCTATGTATTTGCCTTTTCTGAACACTTAATATCAATGGAATCATGCAATACTAGTGATTGGTTTCTTTCACTTAGCACATTTTCATCTATGTTATAACATGTATCGTTATTTCATTCTTCCAAGGGGTTCTCGTCTCACATTGGTGATGCTTTTGTTTCTCTGGTGCTCCTCCTGTAATTTTGATTAAAAGGGTGACCTGGAATTAGGTGTGGGTGCTTCTGAAGTATTGTGCTTTTCTCCACGATAATACACCCAAGACTCACTGTGTCAGGGAGATTTAGGAAAAGAAAAGATGGAATAAACATCACTTTAAAAAAAAAAAATCACATTTATCAAACATCAGTACTGTAGATTCCGTGTAGCTTATGGATCTTTGCTAAGAAGAAATTGTTTTTCTTTTTCTTTTTTTCCCCTCTGTGAAGATACTTTATGTTGATTAAGTTCTTTTTGTTAAATATCCTTTGCTTGCACTGGACTTTTCGTTGTGTTGATTTCTTGCTTCATTTTTTTTTTTTTTTTCCATTTCCCATGCTGTTCAGTTGCTGGATGCCAGAAGAACCAAGGTTTGTCTACTCTTTGCAGCTCGCTTGTTTCACTCCGCACAGCCTCCCTTCCCACTGTGTCTGAGTGTCTGTCTCCGTCTGCCTTTGTTCCCTTTGCTTGCAGATGCAGTAATCCTGTTCACTAAACCTGTTCACAGCTTTATTTGTAAAAATAAAGTCCTTGTTTGTGTCTACTTGTAGTGGATGCTATTATTTTCATTTTTAAGTGGACATGCATTTACCATGGAAAATAATGGATGGTAGAATAAAGAACCCCTTAGGAAACAAGGAATACTGGGTCTGGAGCACTGTGGGCATAAAGAAGGTGTGTTGTGAGTTTCCCTCTAACCCTTCCCACTTCCTAAACTAAAACCGTGGACTGCAATTTCCCTTGTGACTGACACTGATATAACTGTTTCTGTGTATGTGTGCATTTCTCTTCTCCTAAGACATTGAGAAAGTCTCATTGAATTAACTCTCCCTCTCTATGTGCTGTCCCGTGCTTCTGAAGTCATCCCGGACGACTTCATGCTGGCCCTGTGGACCTCATAGTTAACATTCCATCTTCATGGTGCGGACCAGCCCATATAGCACGTGGCCTTGCCATTGACTTTTCTCCTGTCTCCTCTCCTGCCCCGTCTTTCCGTCTACAGCACCTGCAGTTGACGATCCAGGCCCTTCAGGATGAGCTGCGAACCCAGAGAGACCTCAACCACCTCCTGCAGCAGGAGAGCGGCAACCGCGGCGCCGAGCACTTCACCATCGAGCTGACCGAGGAGAACTTCCGGCGGCTGCAGGCTGAGCATGACCGGCAGGCCAAGGAGCTGTTCCTGCTGAGGAAGACCCTGGAGGAGATGGAGCTGAGGATCGAAACGCAGAAACAGACCCTCAACGCCCGAGACGAGTCCATTAAAAAGCTTCTGGAGATGTTACAGAGTAAAGGCTTGCCATCCAAGAGTCTGGAGGAAGACAACGAACGGACGCGGCGGGTGGCAGAGGCCGAGTCTCAAGTCAGCCACTTGGAGGTGATCTTAGACCAGAAAGAGAAGGAAAACATACATCTGAGGGAGGTAAGAACATTCCCTGTATGGTCCCAAAGTCCTATTTTATGAGTGAAAATATGTTACCAAGGTGTTTTCACAGCTTGGAAGACATCTACAGCCTTAAAAATTCTCTCGGTCACCTGTTTTATAACCTTCCCGACTGCTTATCACCTTCAAGCTGGAATTTTGCACGTGTCTGTTGTCTCTGCTCTCTCCACACATATGCTCCATTATTATTCAACACGAATTCAGGGTCCAGGCGTGTGTAGCACATGTCAGCTCTAACATGGTTCACGGCTGCTTTCCCACAGATGGTGGTGGTTTCAGGGCCTTTGTACGGTCCTGTTTACGTTTTAGATGTTTACCAAAAATCATCTCTCTGGAGGAGCAAAATGAATAGGTGATTAGCAAAAACAGTAAACTTAAGAAATTTTTTTTTATAGCTGAATTAAGGGCAGAATTTTCAGAAAGTAAAGCATATAGATAGTTCTGGAAAGCATGGTAAAATGTGTGCAGAGCACTTTTGAATGTTTAGATTGAAGTAATCTTTGTTGCTTGCACTTAACATTCATCTAGGACGGAATGTTCCACGTTTTCTATGTGTTTTGTACTTAGTGGATTAAACCATTCAAAGCCTTTCAGAAGCAGCCTCTCCGGCCTGCCACCACCATTGAATGCTGGGATGCTCATGTGTCTGAGAATATGTGGCTGGCTGAAGCGTAGATAGAAGGTGGGTGACAGCGAAGGCTTGACATTTTTACAGCAGTTCTTTGCCACTGTGATGGATTTGTATTGCGAAAGGACCATGTGAGCAGCTTGCTGTGGGAGACACAGGCCTCACAGAAAATAGTAGGCAGTAAAACGGCATGAAGTAAATTTTCAAATTATGCTACAGCAACAAATAAAAATTCCAAAATGTATTTGCTTCTAGGCCAAACCAGATTTCTCGGCATTCTATACCTGCTCAGGTGGACAGCCCTTCCCATGAGTCACTCATTTCAATGTTCAGAAAAAATGGCTTTCACGTTGGGACGTATTAATACAGAAGCTCCTAGGGGTTTTCTCTGATGTAGATTGTATTTGCTTAGAGATAGACTACTTGAACAGAATTTTGTGTTTTCAGACTTAAGGTTCTCAGTGTTCATTCCCTCTTGTTTTCATGAGACCTTAGCAATATGCTTAGGAAGCCACAGGGCTTGGGTTCACATTGAGATGCTTAAACAGGTGTTTTGTTGGACCTGGTCTTCCTGTTCATATTCCAAGAAGGTTGGTTGTGGTGAGCAGACTTCTAAGATGGCCCCAATGATCCCTAATGCCCTTGTGTAATCCTCTCCCCTTGAGTATAAGCTGAACCTAGTGACTTGCTTCTAAACCACATGTGTCAAACACAAGGCCCGCGGGCCAAATCCGTCCCGCCAGGCCTTGCAGTGTGGCCCGCATCGCGCTGTCATCACTGCACTCCGCTGCGTTTCCATCACAATGACAGTTTATGACTGTTCAGTAAACCATTCGGCCCGCGATTTAGGCTGGATTTTAGATTTTGGCCCCTTCTCTGATTGAGTTCGACACCCCTATTCTAAACAGTGGAGAATGGCAACGGGAATGCGATGCCAGTGACACGCCCATGATTACGTTACACAAGACCGTTACTTCCATCTTGTTAAAAGACTCTATTGCCTTCTCAACTTGCTTGCTTTTATGAAGCAAGCTACCATGTGGGAGATGCCCTTGTGATAAGGAACTAGGTGCAGCCTTCAACCAGGACCCAGTGAGGAACTGAGACTCCCACTACAAAGCCACAAAGAACGGAACACTGCCACTAACTACTTAGTGACCTTGGAAGTGGAGCCTTCCCCAGTTGAGCCTTTAGATGAGATAGATGGGAGACTGTGGGCTGACACCTGGACTGCAGCTTTGTGAGAAACTGTGAAGCAGAGAACCCAGCTAAGCTGTGCCTTGGTTTCCTGATACCCAGAAACTGTGAGGTAATAAATGTGTGTTGTTTTAAGCTGCTTAATTTTACAGGTAATTGTTATCTAGCAATACCTAGCTGATAGAGTGGATTAGAAGCTAGTCTCTTCCTGCCTTACTCTATAGACTTTCCATATAGTTTACAGAAGAGAAGCAAGAATCATTGGCATGTTATCACTTGCATGTTGAGTGACTGTGGATTTTGAATTTTGGTTGTGTCCTCTCAAAATTCTGGTTGGTAGATTGCTGTACTTGAAAAACACAGATGCTTTGTTTTCGGTGCCAAGGGGTCATGTTGCATGTACAGCAAGCCTGTGGTGCCAGAGAAACCTCCATCTGCAGCATTGACCTTCACTCTGTTGGAATCTTGGGGTCGGGGTAAGAGTCACTCCTACTCTGTTACAGATTCTGCTCATTGGTGGCACGTAATAGATGGTCCCTTAATTCTCTTGTGTAGATGCCTCCATTTAAATAAATCTAAACTAAATTGTGTTTGTGTTTTGTGAGGTTAGTTGGTCCTCACAATGGTCTGCTATGGATATAGATCAAGCTTAGAGCCTTAAACACCAGTCTGAGAGTTCACAGAAAATGCAGTCCAACACATCCAACTAGTTTCCTTGAGTATCAGACCAGGCAGTGGGTAGTCCTTATTTTGACTCATCAAAAAGGGAGAATGTGGAAAAAATAATCTCTATAAAAATTTATTTTAGAGGCAGCTAATCAATGATTCTCTCTCATCATTGATGTTTCTTTCTTTCTCTCTCCCTGTCTCTAAAATCAATAAAAAATTATTTTAAAAATATATTTTATTGATTTTTTTTTTTTACAGAGAGGAAAGGAAAGAAATAGAGAGTTAGAAACATCGATGAGAGAGAAACATCGATCAGGTGCCTCCTACACAACCCCCTACTGGGGATGTGCCCACAACCAATGTACATGCCCTTGACCCTTCAGTCCACAGACCGACTCTCTATTCACTGAGCCAAACCAGCCAGGGCAAAAAATTAAATAAAAAAAAAAATTTAAACTTCAACTCAACAAACAAAACGTGGAGGCCTGAAAAGACCTTCTCCAGAGAAGACTTGTACTGTCTTATGAGAGCCATATTATTTTCTGGAATTTTGTGAGCCTGCTTTTAAACCATTGAGCACCCAAATTGGTCAGGGTGGGAGTATTTACACCATGGAAATCAGTAAAATGCTACCTGCACTCCCCCACCTGCCCCATTCCTGAAAGCCCATTTACCAACACACCTCTAAATAAATGCCATTAAAATTATAATATTGTACACCTGAAGTTTGTATAATGTTACAAAAATGTTAGCTCAATTAAAAAACACACACAGAATGGAAATTTTAAAAATCATAATCATCATTGTGTGGACTATAGGGCAATATAATCCTTAATGGCCGTTTGCAAGTTTCCTGCCACAAAAGACCAGCAAAAAACCTTGCTAGACACCAGTTCCTGCATTCCAAGCCCACCGACTCATTCTCCAAATGCAGTGATGACAAAAGTTTCCCACCAGTGACTTCATATAAGGATGAAACTCCAGCTCCCGGATGCCTGGGTGCTGCCATCATTGACCCAATCTCCCCTTGGCTTGGTGCTGTGCAGCCCTACCCTTTGGATATTCCACCTCTCATCTCCTTTCCTTAAATATTCGATAAGTTCAATTTTTCATTACTCACTATTTGAGATGGCTATTAGCCTGCCCACACACACCACCATGCTCATCTTTCAACCATGTTACCAGATTATTCAGCACCACAAGATAAATACTTAAAGTGAGTGTCACATTTTTAGTTATCACAGAGCAGTTTCTAGAGCTCTATGTTACATTTAATATACATAGAACTTCTTCCTTACAATCTCCCACATGCAGTGTGTCTAGTTTTTCCCACAATGCATAGCTTACACCCAGAAGCAACAATAGTCATGATTTATGACACTGTTTTACTATATTGAGGTAAAAAAAATCAATGTGCTGTAAAATTTATCATTATTAATATCGGCTAGAAATAACATATGTATTCATATATATAATGCTGTTTTTCATGCTTAAACTACTTTTGTATTGCCCTACAGACCTTTATAATTGATGCATTTTAAATTGAAACTAAAGAAGAAAATATAGATCTCTGGGTACTAAAAATGTACTTCAAAATAAAAAATGAATATGAAAGAAAAAAAAATAAATAAATGCCATTAAATATTTGTGCATGATACAGCAAGAAGAGGCAAGTTAAATAGTGTCAGAATTTCAAATGCATTAACCACATCATTCATCAAAAGTTTTCAAAAACAGTGTCTAGATTGATGCTCATGTGTCAGGCATTATAAAGAATGATTTATGTGATTCACATCTAATTCTCACAGCCACCTCATTCATTCATCCATCCATCCATCCATCCATCCATCCATTGAATGAATACTTATTTGAAGATGAGTTTTGGGATAGAGCAATGATAAATGACAACGTTTGACTACATGATGCTTGTATTCTGTTGGGGTCAACTAGAATACAAACATCTATTTAACAATTAAACAGAGAAGTATCATGGAGGAAAGAAGAGGATGAAGAACTAGTGATTTGGGTGGTGCCAACTTCATAATGGTGGTCAGGGAAGGTCTCTTGGAGGGGGTGACATTGTGAACTGAGATCTGAGTGGCAAAAAGGAACCCGTCATGTAAGGCTCTCAGCAGACTGTTGCATTCATATTGGAAGACCCACCTACGAGGCAGCTACTATTGTTTTGACAATTTTTATCTGGGGAAACTGAGGGACAAAGTGATGTTACGAAGCTTGCCTATAACTAACAAGTAGTTATGCTGGTATTCGAATCAGGCTGACTTCAGAGTCTTAGCTTTTGGGCCATTTCATTATATCCCTTTTCTAGAAAAATCTTTCTCTAAGAGAAAACAGACTGTGGGGCCAAATAAACATGGGAAAATGCCGGATTGATAGAGTATACTGCAAATATGCATCAGTCATTTCCCAGGAGGGGACTAGGGAAGGCAGAACTTCTCACACTTACCTTATTTGACTTGCTTTT